TGTCTCTCTTGACACTTACGCACTCGGTCGAGTACATCTTGTGATTGTGGAGGAAGCTCGTGCGAGGAGGGAGGGGCGACCACGTCCAGTTTGGACCGAAGATGTCTACCGAACATCAGCTGCGCCGGAGACACACCCGTAGTACAATGAGGCGCATTTCTATAGTGAAACAAATATTTATCTATGCATTGATTTACCTCTTTTGCGGGCCCTTCTTTAAAAGCATTTTTAATGAACTTTTTACACGTTTTTACCGCGTTTTCCGCGAGTCCGTTACTTTGCGGCGAATACGGTGGCACAAATAACTGTTTTATTTTGTGATTACGGCAAAAATCTGCGAACTCATTGCTAGTGAACGTTTTAGCGTTATCAGACACAATATTTTTAGGCAGCCCGAACCGTGAAAAAATTACTAACAAGGTATTTATCAAGGTGTGTGACAATAAATTAGGTACCTCAATGCATTCCAACCATTTGCTACAAGCATCAACCAAAACCAAAAAAGTACGATTATGTACCGGGCCTAAGTAATCCAGATGCACCCTATCGAAAACGATGGTCGGCCACTCCCAATTTTCAATGGGTACCTTAGGCGGGGACACTCGTGCAGAAATGCAAAGGTCACAATTTGAGACGACATTTTCTATGTCACTATCAACTCCCGGGTACCAGCAACGTTCTCTAGCGGCCATTTTCATTTTTACAACGCCCATATGAGAGGCATGCAATTCACCAATTACGGCACGTCTGTACACCTGAGGCACAACCACGCGATGGCCACGGAACAGGCAGCCATCGTCTACGTGTAGCTCATGCTGGCAACGACGGTAGGCCAGCAATTCTGGCTTAACCTTCTTAGGCCAGCCCTTTTTTATATGAACCAGCACCTGGGACAACTCTGTGTCCGCCGCGGTGGATTCACGCAGCTCTTCACGGGACGCTGGTAGCGGCAACAGAACGCCCACCGTACTAAGCGCGTTAAGGTAACTAGCCCCCTCGTCACCGTCTATTATAGTGGTGAACTCAGGTTCGATTGGACTTCGACTTAAATAGTCCGCTACATTTTTTTCACTTTTTATATACTCTATGTCGTAATTGTACGCAGCGAGGAATAAAGCGTAACGCTGCAGACGCGCCTCTGTCATTTGCGGCACACCTTTCGTTGGCGAAAAAATAGACATCAAGGGTTTGTGGTCCGTCCGTAAAATAAACGGCTTTTGGCGGCCATACAAATACTGGTGGTATTTCTTGATACCATATATTATGGCTGTGGCCTCTTTTTGTATTTGGCTGTACGCACGTTCACTTTTGCATAAACTACGTGAAGCATAGCTTATAGGTTGCTCGGTGCCGTTCGCGTACCGTACAGCCAGCACCGCGCCCAGACCGCCGGGCCCAGCGTCCACTGTTAGCACCAGATCCTGCTGCGGATCATAGTGAGCCAAGACACGAGGTGAACACAATTCCTTTTTAACGCCAACGAATGCTTTTTGGTGCCTCTCAGTCCATTCCCATTTCACATCACTGCGTAGTAATGAATACAATGGCTCCATCAGGCTCGACGCCTGCGGTATAAAATTCCGATAAAAATTAACAAGACCTAGGAACGACTTCAACTGTTTCTGATTTTCTGGAATTTTTGCCTTGACCATTGCCTGTACTTTATTTTTGTCTTTATGTATCCCATTGCTGTCTATTACATAGCCCAGGTACTCAACACTTTCCTGAAAAAAATGGCATTTAGATTTTTGCAACATCAGACCGGCATCTTGTAGCCGCTGAAGAACACGCTCCACCCGCTCCCAGTGCTGTTCCAGAGAGGGGGCAGCGATCAACACGTCATCTAAGAAACACTGGACTCCGTCTATTCCTTGTAACAGCTGTGACATAGCCCGCTGGAACAAGGCCGGTGCATTTGCCAATCCGAACACGAGCCGAGTAAATTGGAAAAGTCCCTTATGAGTGTTAACACAAGTGTACTCTTGTGACTTATCTTCTAATAAGAATTGATTGTAACTGCTTGACAAATCAATTTTACTGAAAAAACAACAGTTATGCAATGAGGCACATAATTCACTTAAAGTTGGCAAGGGATACGAGTCTATTATTAGTATTTTATTAATTGTTCCAGAGTAGTCACCGCATATACGGACATCGTTATTTTTCTTCAAAACCGCGACGATGGGCGATGCATATCTCGAATAAGACACGGGTTTTAAAATACCTAATTGCACCAACCGATCTAATTCCTTACTTACTTTATCCCTTAACGCAAACGGTACTGGCCTCGCTTTACAAAATTTTGGAGCAGAACCTTCTTTTACATGCAGCGTCAATTTATACTTATTGAAGGTGCCCAGGTCGCCTGTAAACATTGTTTTATATTTTTGTAACAACCGTTCAATATAATTGGCACTACAATAATTTATAGCGACCAATGTCATTTTAAAATAGTTCATAAAATCCCTCCCAAGTAAAGCGACGGGGCCATTTTCTATTACGTAAAACATTAATTCATGTGTGATATCATTATGCACAACTGGCAGCTTGCATACGCCTAGCGGTGTAACTATACTGCCATCGTATGTGCGTAATACTTTGTTTGGCTTACCGAGCGGGCCGCACTGCGAAAAATACGTACGCCAGGTGTGCGCCGGCAGCACGGACACTGCGCTGCCTGAGTCCACCTCCATACTGAGCATCACACCACGCACGCCCACCTCCACAATCATGGGACGCCCACCGACACACTGAATATTATTTATTTCCGCATAACTCTCACTACTTTCATCTTCACAAAGATAGTAATTACGACGAGCGGAGGGGTTATTACCCGCACTTCCAGATTCACTTTTTGCACTCTTACACATTTTTTTCAAATGGCCTTTGACCCCACACTGGTTACACGATAAATGACGTAACCCGCAACTCGACGCTTCATGAGATTTGGCCCCACACACGGTGCAGCGGGGCGCGGAAGCTGGCAGTGAGGCGACCGGTGGTCGCGCGCGCCTGTTGCCGCTGCCGCCACCGCGACGTCCCCCAGGGCCAGCATACATCATGAACTCGCTTTTCACTGTCACGTTGGGTCCGGAAACTAGTCGCTGTGCACTTTCCACCGACACCGCAATTTCCATGGCTTTATTTAAAGTCAGTGTGGTGGCGTCCTCTCGAAACAACTTTTCTTTGACGGTCGGTATGTCTACTCCGAGAACAAAGCGATCTGTCAAACACATATCCAAATGGGTACCGAAACTACACTCCGCAGCAAGACCTCGCAGGCGCGCGGCATATTCCGCCATTGATTCAGTTGCTTGTTTGGTTGCTGAATGGAACTTCTGTCGTTCTGCATACAAACACTTCTTTGGCAGGAAATGCGAATCCAGCGCGTCCACAATATCACTGTAGCTGGTTGATTCGGGGACACCCGGGTGCAGCAAGTCTCGTACTAAACGATATGAGTCCTGCGACATGCAATTTAATAATATCGCTCGCCTTTTCGCACCCGTTGTATCGGTGTTGTTGTTGATATCATTCGCATCAAAAAAATTCCTTATTTGTGCTTTGTGAACTATCCACTCATCCACTTTGCAGTCGAACACGGGTGCGGTGCCAAATATAGACATTTCGTAGTTTTATACTAAAATAACCGACAACAAACTTTAGTACAGTTTACGCGTGGTACACTGAAACGATTTTTCAGCAATCAACGTCGCCAATGAGGTATTTCTAATAAATACTTATAGAGAACGAAAGAAAACACACGCGTGCCAAATCGACCATTTATTCAACTAACCTTTTGAAGGTAGGTATACCAAGAAAATGTTATTACTTACTACCTACACAATACATATGCTACAGCCATATTTCAAGTAAAAGAAGAAAGATTTTTAAGTGGCGTCAAAATTATGACACGAGTTTGCGCAGGGAATAACATAAGTGCGTAATAATTTATTTGCTAGTTGTATGACAGGCAAATTCAAATTAAGGATGCACCGGACACGACCAACGATCCAGGAAAAATCATACGTTTTCCTTATTTAACCAAGAGTTATAATAACTTCCTGTTCTTGGATGATACCCATTCAAAGTCAATAAATATGATAAGGTATCTTATAACCTACATTTCATTACATTTTAGTGGCAGAAGAGTTCCTTGTGAAAGAGTACGTCCAGGGAAGTACTGCCAACTTACACATTTCTGCCACCAAGCAGGTTTTAAAGGGTGCTGGTGAAATGACAGGCACATGGGTCTTGTCAACTACGTCTCAGAGTGACGCAGTGCCCCTCAGGTCTTCGCGATCTAAAGTTGTGAGTCGCACAGCAACTCAGTTTTTTATCACGCAATTTATTATGGACGTTACATACAATTCGACTATAACAAAAAAACAAGATAATGGTTAATTAATGTATTAATAGGTTGTAAGAAAAAAATACATATTATTCAACATTTCGGAAATTGAAAAAAATATGATGTTTCCAGACGGGCCTGATTGATTTCCTTACACAGTAGCTATAGTTATAATGTAAACGCTTTCATATCGTTTGATTTCAGTGCTTGGTCGTCGGTGAATGGAATGGGAAGGGGGTGTCTACCCCCCTTACAATATGCACCGGGAAGTTGGTTCGGCAGTGTACACAACAGATTCACTTTCGCTGCTAATTTGCGTTTATCAGTTAGACTTTAAAAAAATATTAAATCTAAAATATCTGTCCGCAAGCTACTAAGTTTTGACAAAGTTCAATAATAAATGATATCCGTTTTCGTTAAGTTTTTTGACTTTTAAATGAAATTATTTCAATATGTTGAAATATGTCAATATTTGTAGGACAAGATTGTCGTGTTATAACATCACGCATATTGTTGATTAAATGGCAAACGTAAAGTGTAATAAATAGTGCAACCATGCAATCAGCCCTTAAAAATGAGTACTGCTATATCGCATGCGCGGACTGAAATAGCCTCCAGCTTCCCTAGGCCAGACTGAGTGCATCCTTTCTGCTCCCAGACGTCCGCAGATGCCAACGTACCCTAGTGCAAATCAACTTTGAAGCAAGTTTCTACAAGTTTTAGTGTTGCCCTTAAGAAATTCCTGAGTGCTAAAGCCGATTTGCTTGTAAAGGTAAAAATTTTAGTTATTACATTACATTTTCAGATTTTTTCTAATGCTAACTGTATATACATATTGTATCAGTACTTATAGCAACGTAGCATTGCCGCCATGATGTAATTCGATGCGTTTAAAACAAAATGTCGACGCCGAATTAAATCACAAATATATATACAAATATAAATATCATAGTTCTTAGTATTAGCTTTCCATTCTAGAAGTTAAGAACAACGTAAAATATGTGGGTGCTACGTCGTAATCCATCTCTCTCATTGCGAGCATAGGGTTTACAGTTCGCGATTTAAATTTTGATTAAATAATACAGATTTTGCGAAATTAATAAATAGGATTTATTTTTTATAAAACCAAGTGACGGGACGAATAAATCGTGCGCCTGTTGGTAAGCGACACGCCTATCCATAACAGTTGCAGTGCTACTGAGAGCTTTAAATCGCAAAGTTGCAGCGTCACCCTAAGGCATAAGTTGACAAGTACATGAGTCTACAATTTCACCAGTATCCTTACTCTTCAAACCCGGAACGCAGTAATGCTCACATTAAAGCTTGGCAGCAGAAATAAGCAAGTTGGCAGTACTTCCCTGGACGAACTCTTTCACAAGGAGCTCTACTGGTACTAAATGGATATCAATAACCCATAAACCAATTATCATGGTAGTCTACAATGGCAAAGAACCAGAAAATGTATTCTTCAAATCAATTCCAGGTCATTATGCCGTCTCTTACGTATACAAAAGTCGAGCAGCAATTTGAGATCTACGTATACGTCCTGGGTTATTACCTTCATGCTCAAAAATGCCTCGACTCAACTACGTGCAGGTACCAGAAGCGGTTAGGCACCTGTCAGCGAATAAAAGACGCTATGAAACATATTGGTGTCTGCAAGGTGAGTTTTTGTTTATAATTTTGAGTTAAATGCACTTTTGGAGTACGCATTTCATATACATAAAGGGCAAGATGTGAGACAACTTATGGGGTAATAGACCAGGACGTTTGACTTTTGACAAATCGCGACGTTTCCGATTTTGCCCGCTTGACAGGTGCTCGCCGAAAATTCTTTAGAGGGATATCTTTTTTTTGATGATACCTAGTAACGGAACGCACAAGTCGTACGCCTGGTGTTAAGCGACAAGCCTGTCCAAAGCAGTTGCAATGAGACTCGGTCGGAGATCGTAGCATTTTTAAAATCTGAGAGCATAGCCACTGCGCCTGTGATCCTGAGATATACGTAGACAAGTCTCATGTGCCTGTAATTTTACCAGCACCAATGCTCCCAATACTGCTTGGCAGCAGAAATAGGTAAGGTGGATGACCTCTTTCACAAGGATTCTTTCCCTCTACTGCTACCAAATCAGATGCGAAACAGGAAAGCTTGTTTGTTCACTGGGTAACAGACTCGCTAAGAACAAAGACAACGAAACTAATGTAAAACCCCATGAATCAAACTCACGAAGTGTATTTTTGTAAGAATGCATATGGAGAGTTAAAGAATTTCTAATGTGTGATTCATAATTAGATGTCCTAAATGTAAACAAAGAAATGTCATCATATATCATCCACAAAATGTGAATGCAGGTGTGCTAAACCTTCTATTTTTGACGGAATTGGCAAAGGAGAAGGTTCTCATTTTCTACGATTTTAGTTACCTATTACAAAATAGGAAAAAAACGTTAGCAACAACATATTAATTTAACAAACGTACTACGGGGCGAAGAAAACATTCCGAGTTCGAGAAACGAATGACATGTACACGACACAATGGCGGCACAAACAATGTTTTTGTTCCCGATCATAGTCTTATTACAATAATCGTATTAAACAATACTAAGTAAAAATGTATGGGTATTGCAAAATGTGAATTATTCCTAGTTTTATCAGATTACAGTTTCAAAACAATTCTAAATGTTTATTGTATTAAAAAATTTGAAGTTAAAATGTTGGACTTCCAATTATAATTCATACTGCAAATGTGATATTTCTTTTCATTTCAGAACATGCGCGCTTGCACTGTCCCCTTTTGCAGGATTACACGAGCTGTTGAACGTCATTGGCAGAATTGTAACAATAACGAGTGCCGGGTGTGCGAGATATACTTGGCCAAAGGCTATGGTCTGCAGTAAGTTTGTTGTTCAACTACGCTTGCGAATTTCTAATTTTGAATCCTGCAAATCGTTTTTTATGATTTACTCAAACGTTCTGGCGAAGTAATAGTATGTTTTGATGTACCTATACAACATACATATCCTAAAGCAAATGTGAATTATATTTTCGAATTGTTATAAGTTTACAATGTATACAATTTAAATCTTTAATTATACATTCCTTTCCTATTGCTATTCCTAATTAATAACTATGTAGAAATGTTGCAAGTGATTCTAGATTGTAAACTCCCGGCATTCCAGGAAGCTAAAAAACATCTTTAATATTTCTGTGCGACTTACAATCCTTTGCGCGTAATTATGAGTCCGCATAATAATTTTACACATAATTATAGAAACTGATTTTTCTATAATTATGCAAAAAAACTGTTATGCCATGTTCATAGTAAATAAGATAAGAGTTTTAGCTAGGATGTTATATTATTTCGCAGTTGGTCTAATAATGATACAAGGTACAAAACGTATTAAATTATGATTCAGATTTATAACACAAAATAAGTATTAATAATTTTAAATAATTCTTACAATTTTTTTCAGTTAGAACGAAAACAATATTATTTTAGAACAGAGCAATTTGTCTTCTCGGTGTTAGTATTAAGGTTTTTCTCCTTCAGCCTGTAATCATCCACTGCTGAGTGTAGACCGTCCTTTTTGACCTTGGGCTATTTGCATCCATTACTTTAGTCGTCGATTATTCAATGTTAAGCTTTTATTCTGACTAAACATTATAGATTGTTTTGAGGCATTATTTATTGCAAACAGCGAGTTTGGACAAAACAAATCATTTTTGGACCAAAATCAAAGGTTGTAACAATACTTAATGAATTTAAAAGCCCGGTAAAGGGAACAGGGTTTCTTCACTATGGAACTTTGGAATATTCTAATGTACAAGTGATTGTTCAATACCGTCAATTATACATCGTCTGTAGTAGGCTTTTTAATGACAGATAGTAAACTTTGCTAGCTTTTGATGAAATAATATCACAGTGTAATTTGGACAAGGTACTGCAACTGTATCAGCGAAGCTTGTATGTGCGCACACATTCGCATAATGTCAAGGTGCACTCGAGGGTTGCACGCGGTACACTTTATTTCATTCATTCTTTCATTCTTTGTTTCATTAATTATTTATTATATAAAGAATTGACGCGTTCACCAGGTGTTTAAAATATTGATAATAAGAATATTTTTCTGTGTCAATGAGTTTTTTTTATTTCATGATTACACTCTCATAATATAGATATTATAATTTCGATGCTGGTATAAAGCAATCAATACGTAAATGTTTCATTTGACAAAGGTTATTTCAATATGGCACAAGAATACTATGATGAATAGTTTAATTTTTCAAATCATGTCTGTAGATTTAACTAAAATAAATATGCGACAACCCTACGATCCGAGCGGCACCGTGTAGGCTTTGCCACGTTGAACTGGCGGGAGTTACACTACTTCCCTTATTATACTATGATAACAGTGTGTTAAAATACCACAGCAGATTATATAAACGGTGTTTTTTTTTTATATTAGACAACATCACAGATGAAGAGATCCAAAGTAAGTAAAGCACTTATGTAATGAAAATCGGAAACAACGACGGTGTCACAAACATCCAGACTTGAGACAATATAGAAAAGCTTTCTACATTGACCCGGCCGGGGATCGAACCCGGCACCTCATATATAGCGACACCATGAAAACCGGTGTGCAAACCACTCGACTTTTTAACCGACTTGAGAAAAAGGAGGTTCAAATGTATTTTTTGTATGTATGTTACGCGATAACTCCGGACTTTGTGAACCAATTTTGAAACATCTTTATTTGTTGGAAAGAAGGTACTTCGGTTGTGGTCCCACTTATTTTGAAGAAAACATTCCACTTCTAAGGGTGGCAAACTTCCGGTAACCAATTTTAATAAAACTTGCTAAATATATGTAATTCCACAAACACTTGAGGGCGGTTTTTTTAATAAAAAAGCTACAAATTTTATTATTAATTTGTTACTCATGTCTTTAAATTTGTTTTGGAATTATTTCGTTTCAGTCAGTTGATCAACTGATGCAAACACAGTGGTAATAACCTCAGTACACAGTACTAAACCCCTAATTTGCCACTCTTAGAGGTGAAATATTTCTTTCAAATTTAAATGGGACTAATGCATAGGTAACCTCTTTTCATCAAAAACAGAATCATCAAAATCTATTCACAACATACAAGTAACACAAAAAAGCAGAAATCGACGCTACGCCACTGTCCTAACACACATAACAAACATGGTAACATTCTTTTTCAAAGTGACATCACAAGCTGTCAGTTTACTATCTCTAATTAAAAATCCGACTGTACATCTCTTTTATATAATAATTTATTTATAATTCTTACAAAAACTTCTTGATTGTTTACCCACCATTTTTACTATTTTTTATTGTTATTTATTTAGTGTCAACACTATCTACTTGTGTACCTATGTATTTTTAACTCCTATTGTGTAGTAATTATATCGAACCCTCTCTGACTAACTGCCGTAACTACCATTAGGTTAGGCTCAATTTACTTAGATGCGGAAGTGAATGGAAGCGTATGCTTGTATCTATAGGATAATGATCTTAATGTCGGTTGTGTAACTACAAACCTAGATACGAGTTAAAAAGCAAGTAAGAATTCCTGTAGCTATATAGCTATCGTATCGTATTTAGTTTGTACGTTCCACAAATGACATAAAATTTGTTATACTATATACCATTTCTTTACAATGACTTGCTTCCATTCCGTTCCGCGGTGACGTAAATTGAATCTTAATTTTTCAGAGCTGTAGCTTGGATCAAACTCGTTCCATCAATAGGTTTATATTCGTATGAAAAAGGACAAATACGACGACTACTGCAGAATGTTTGCTTTTGAATGATAAATAAAATCAGTAAGGTCGTGTGTGATTCAATTATGTCAAAAATGTTAGATACGACAGTAAGTTAAAAAAGGAATCGTATGTGTGTCATAAATGTTGTGGTCTTTATAATAAACCTGTCTGTATTATGTACATAGTTTTATTCACCTACGTGTTATTTCAACTTTTCATCGCATGCTATGAGAAGTTTAATAAAAACGAAGAACGGAGGGTGATAAGCGACAAGCTTTAAATCGCAAAGATCTGAGGGGCACTGTCGCTGCATCCGTCATCCTGAGACCGTCCAAATCCGCTACGCAGTATTACTGCTTGGCGGCAGTACTTCTGTGGACGTACTCTTTCGCAAGAAACTCTATAGCTACTGAAATGAATTTGTCAATCCGTTTGCAAGTACCAGTCATGGAATTTTTACACATACCAACTGGCCAAAAGGACTGATGGTGAACATAGGAATACTTTCATGAAGTGTGGTTACTTGAGTGAGATGCTTTCCACTTCATCGTCATCATTAACTGACATGCGTCTGTGTAAAGCACGGATCTTCGTGTTTGTGTGTTAGTCCAAGACGATCAATTTTTAATAAAAAAAATACTTATACATAGTAAGAATAACCGTAGACTTTAAGACTCTCTACAACCTCAAATGGCTTTTGTTGATTACGCATAACAGTGAAAGCGTTGAATCAGTCTCTTTGAAAAAAAAAATATAGTAAAATTGAAGACATACACTGATTAGTACACGGTGTGAGAACATGATACCCAAAAATTTTCACGATAGAAAAAAAAACGCTAACTTACTCAAAATTTTGCAAGAAAACCGCTGCATTCCATAGGTAATTTACACATATGATTTTTTTATATCAACTGAACTTAATAGAACATGTTATAGTATACGATTACGTTTGTATAAATAAATACTGAAATAAAGCCAGTGCCCAAGCAAAATGAACCGTGTTAGTACGGGAAAGAATTGAATTCGAGCAGATATAGTATTCACTCTTAATGTATAATATATAAATTTTTTAAATGAATATTCTAAAACACAATGATTGCTCATATCGACGGAATAGATACGGAAATTTATCAATACTAATATTAAGTACAGACTCATAAAGTAGACGAAATTACAGACCATCAATGCTTGAAAACAACGTCCAGGTGAAACTGATTCGCTTAACTGGTTCATAAAGTGTAGTTTTATTGTTTTTACTGCGTTAGTTGCATACTAGTTCAAGAAGCTCTATTGCTACCACGGAATTACCCTACGTTAGTAATCCTAAAAATAAACAAAAACGTAGTGCACTTCCATAAAAAATATGTATTTAATGAATGCAAATGATTATTGTTTTCATAGATAATACTATATTTTATTATTGATAAATAATAAACACGATGCGGACGGTTCATGGAATGCATTAAGATAATAAACGTTTGGAATCCATAATTAATTATTTGAAAATGCTTTTATAAAGTATTTTTATTAATCATAATTATTTATGTTTACAAAAACATGATTATTTATGATTAAACTTCCTCGTTTCTTCAGTGGAATTGTAGGACAGAAAACTTTTTAATTTCTTTGGCTTCTGGTCAATTAGCGTTCGAGGCAACTTTTTTTTAAACTTACGTACTGGGTCATGAGAACGTCATGCTTAAGAATTAAACTCAATTCTATGGCGCTACGGTAAGAACTGTCCATTGTTTAAAGCCCAAAGTGTCAAGTTTGATGTTCTGTTGACTGTACATCAAAACTGTTACCATTGCAGATTTGATAAGGAAAAACATTAAATGTAATCTATATATTTTTACATACATATTCATTATTACATTGAACAAAAATCAACCTTATGTCAATCAAATTAATCTAAACAAAAAATATTTTAACTACTTCGATTGTATAGCATTTACCCTTCGAATGTGAAGTCATTTTGATAACGACTGTATTAAAATGATTATGTATTAAGATGAGCGGTGGCAGTCCAGTGGGAGAAAGATTGCTTCACAATCGAGCGGTCACCGGTTCGATTCAATTTATAAGTTACGTACCTACAAGGAAAACATGACAATGACACCGGCATGTCGAAGACTGTATACTAACCCTGGAAAACGTGTGAAATCTCCAAAAGGCTTCGGGCATACATAATCGTAAGAATAGATCTTTCGAATTCAGAAAAATATTCTTTTACAATAATTGTGGTTTCAAAATGGCGTCTTGGCGATTCGACGTTCGTGTGTTGCATGCATAAGGCGTGCTCATTAGACTTAGTGTCATATTGTGTTAGTTTATTTTTCAATAAATTTTAAGTATGATAATATTATTTCACGCGAAGAAGTATGTTTATTTCTTTAGATTATTGGCTTACATGGGCTTGACATGGCGCCGCATTAAAACGAGGAAATGCAATATAAACTTTATTATCTACACATCGAGTATTTAACCAGAAATAGAGACGAAATGTCATTTAATTTATATGAAAACTATTCTGCCATAACATTGACAACTGCGCTCCGATTGGCTAGTCCGAGTTCGAAACAATTGACGGGTATCGTCAATGGCTGTCGGCGATTGTTTCACTTCAAATCGACCAGTTAACTTGAGCTTTGCTATAATGCACGAAAATTGCAAAATTACATATTTAATATTTAATTAAATTACCGATGAAAATTAATTATAATAATGTTGGCGCTGTCTATATTTCAGTGCAAATGAGATTTGACATTTATAAGTGATGTATCACTGATGAGCTACCAGGTATGTATGACCCTTATTTCGTCTCTATTTCTGGTTAAATACTCGATGTATCTACAGGATAAGTCAACACTTTATTAAACAAAAAATGAAAACGAAGCTGCAGCAAGTGGCGGCGGGCGCATATATATATATATGTACCTATTTCTGCCGTCAAGCAGCAAAGTCAGCATTACTGTGTTCCGGTTAAGGATTAAGGGTGCTGGTGAAATTACAGACACATGAGACTTGTCAAGTTATGTCTCAGGGTGACGGGCGTAGTGGCAGTGCCCCTCAGTTCTTTGCGATTTAAAGCTCTGAGTGGCACTGCAACTGTTGCGGACAGGCGTGTAGCTTACCGTCACTTGATATTATTATTTTTAAAAAAAAGGAAACGTTGGTATACCAAACTTTACGTAAAGATAATTAGAAGCCTAAATAGCACGATAATCTTTGATAACGGACTTTAGAACTCGACGAAAGAGAACGAATTCCCTTCCAATAAACGAGAATATGCACCTGAGTCGCGCCCATTCCACCTTGAACCAGGATTAGGGTTCGTAAAATAAGGTTTTCCAACTACA